GATATTCTGGCTAAAAAGAGGGGACAAACAAAGATGGGTGATGGATGGTGTATTGGCCTTATATTCTTGGTCATATGAGGTGACTGATTTAGTAGGTGGTGTATCAACAACAACTCAAATGTCCCTTGGCTTTTTGTGGTTGTTTATTCAGCCCTAGTAGGGAACATAAAGGGGACAAGAATGGGGAATATCTTGGTTGATGTTGTGTTGGGATAATGAGGGATATTTGGCCTGGGATTTATAGAAAAGGATTAGAAGATTTTATTTGTTTATTAAAAGGTTTAAAAGAAAGAAAATAACAACAAACAAAGGTTGTGGTTTACACACTCTTATTTTCGGCCAGGGCCTAAAATAGGAGTAGGAAAACTTTATTTTGAAAAGGAAATATTTTGGATGTTTAGGGAAGGTATGGAGAGTGTGGGCTCAGCCTAGGGTGGGTGTAGGACAACCATGGTGTTGGGTTGGGTTCTAAGACAGGAAAATGGAGAAGTTCCAACCCAATTAATGTCACCACACTTGGGCTTTATTCCCCTGATCTGTCTTTCCCTTGGCGGGCTACGAAGAGTCTTCGGGCATGCTCCCGGATATATATCAGCAATCTAGCCCGCCAATGGCGCGATCCCTTTCTTCCGGCTCCGTAACGGCCAATCAGCTCCGTCTCCTTCTCCGGATTGACTCTGCCAGCTGCGCTTGGTTTGAGGTTAACTAGGCCCAGCTCCACGGGCCGGCCCAAGCTTGGGCATTTCACAAGTGCTTGGCCCAAAGCTGTATAAGTGGTTCATTTGGGCCGCCCACTGGATATCGGCCCATCATAAGCCCCCCAACTCCTCAGTCCTCAACTGGGCCAAGTGGAGGAATGGGGAGTTTGCAAAGTCCACGTGGGTGCTCGAGCGGGGATCCGGGCCGTTCCTTGGATTCCGCGTGACATCTGGGCACGATCTCCACAAATAGGTAATCATGGCCTGGCGGTTCGCCTTCCTATTGTCAGTTAAAAACCGCCGCAGGACGCCATTTCTTCCTTCCGCTTTCTTCACCATCATTCGTCTGTAATTCCGCTGCTACCCGACCCGTTCTTCTTCCTTTCCAGGTCAGCTCCTTTTCTCGCCGTCATGATTGTTTCAGATTCCGATTCGGCTACCCCATCGTCCAATTCTTGCCAAGCCGATCAATCGACCTCTGGCCGCAACCCCGGCCACACTCAATCACTCCAGCCGTCACCGTCGGCCGTGTCTGGCCATAAACGGCGTCGATTGAGGAAGCAATTCCCTTCCTCAACCCCGGTAGACGAGGGCTCGAGGGTTGGATTGGACGAAAATATCATGGCGCTGTGCCATTGCCAGATTACTGACCGGGGGTTCGCCGATGCTACTGACATGGTCGGACCTTCCATTGAAGTCATGAGACCTACCAGCACCCAAACCGCCCTAGACGCCCCTTCAGGGTTCTTCACGGTCCATCTGGCGTCTTTGAAGAAGGGGCTGCGCTTCCCACTCCACCCGCTTTTGATCGAATTCCTCAATGTGGTGGACCTTCTCCCGTGTCAGTTGGTCCCCAACTCTCACCGGTACATCACCGGTTATTTGGTCCGGTGCAAGGCTGTAGGGGTGAAACCGACTTTGGACCATTTCCTATTCACCTTTAAGCTAACCAAGGGCCATAAGGACTGGGCGTCCTATGCCAGCCTTTCCCAGAGGTCCAGCAAGCTCTTTGCTAGCGACAAGAAGGGGTCAACCAAAGACTGGAAACCCTACTTCATCTTTGTCTCGACGGGGCCTGAATCTCCTTTCACAGGTTCAGGGCGCCCTTCCTTCCGCCGCATCCCATGCCCCCCATCTGATGCCACCCTTTTGTCCATTACTCGCCAACTTTGCAACAAGGGAGTCATGAACATCAAAGAGGTGGTGACAGAGGAAACCCTTGCCGGGTTGGGGTTTGAGTTTGTTCAGGATGAGCTTCGCCACCAACCNCTTCGTCCCACCAAGGGGAGGGTCCCTCCCAAGAGCCGGCTGTAATTGTAGTGGAGGACCAGGATGATGCTACCCTGGAAACGGGTACAGTGACTGGTCATTCCCCCCCCCCCACTCTGTGAAGCCGGGTGGCGACCTCGCTGGGTCGTCACTAGGTATTGCCTCGGAGCGACCTCCTTCGCCTCCCGCAGTGACCTACGAGGTGGCGACCGGGGGTCGCTCGACGAGGCTTTGCATTCCTCCTCTGCCCCAAAGCCTAGGGGACGTGCAACTGGAGACCCTGATCACCTTGCCCGCGGAGGATCAAGCTCGCATCTCGGCCGGTTCTGAGGACGACCTTGATAACATGGTCCTTTTGAGGCTAAGCCAGGTACTTGCGCTGATTCTATCTACACTCCTTTCCTTTTTTTTTTGTACATTCTTAACCCCCCTGCCTTGGCGCAGGCCACGCTGGGGATGATTGAGGTGGTCGGTAGGAGACGGGGTCACCAGGCTGCCTTGGGCGAGGCGTTGAAGACATCGGAGGCCAAGCAGAAGGAATTGCAGGAGGAGGTCGCCTGACTCACAAGAGAGCTGGGGGAGAAGGAAGATCGTTGCGCGGCGCTAGCTGCATAGAAAACTTCCCAGGAGAACCGCTGCGTCGCCCTTGAGGCAGACAAGGCCGCCTTGTCCTTGGAGGTAGGATCTGTTTCTGCTCGCGTGGTCGAGCTGGAGGGGGAAAAATCTGACTTGATTCAGCAGTTGGAAGTGGAGAGGAGCGACCGGATCCGCTATGCAGAGGAAGCAGTAGAATCCTTCAAGTCTTCTCCTGACTTCACGATGGTCGCAATGGAGCGGATGGAAGAGCTTACAGTTGCTTGGCTTGAAACCGAGCCTGGGGCTCAGTGGATGGTCAGGGAGGAGACCAAATCCTTCAACTGTGGACTCTTCCGCGCCCAGCAGGTCTTCCGCGACAGACTGGCTCAGCTCCCCAAGGGATTCTCTCTTCCCGACCTTGGCTTCCCTCCTCCCTGCCGTTCCTTGGCCGAGTTCGACCCCAGTCCTTATCTGGACGGGGGGAGCTCGAGTGCGTCGGAAGAAGAGGAAGAAGAAGAAGTGGAAGGCGGCCAGGGCGACCAGGATCAGAGGACCAGTTTAGCCTCGTCCAAGGCAGGTGGAAATCCTAGCTCGAGCACCTAACCTCCCCCGTTGTTCCCCCAGAGTTTTGTAAACACTTGTTGTTTTTTTCCCGAAATGACTCATCATTTTGATGCAATGTTCACATACTACTTGATTCGTTGGATCCACTATGTGCCTCCTCTTTTCGGCGTTTTACTCTCTTCTCTAGCTTAGCTGATTTGCATGTATGTTTTAATTTGGGCCCAACTCCTAATTCCGGCCCGTTTATTTGTCCAGGCCCAATCTCAGGATTGGCCAACGTGCCGCCCAACTGACCCAATGCCTTTCACAATCTCTGATTGGACCTTCGCGCGGCTCAAAGCTCCTTTATCGGTCCAGCTGCCTTGAGACTTGACCGTCTCTTCGGTTCCTTCGCCTGGGCCTATTAATAAGCCCCCCTAACCTTCATTTTGTTCCATCGCCAAATATTTTCCCTTTCTTCATTATCGCCATGTCTGAAGGAATTCATGTTTCTCTGAACCTTTCCGACGGGCCGGCTCCTTCTTCGCCGGAGCCTGCCTCCTCCCCCAGGTCAGTCAATTCTAATGACGGGGGGGGGCTAGACCCTTACGAATTCTGCCGCCGGTTGCCTCGCCGACAGTGGCCGTCGGTAAAACCGCCGCCACTACCACCAAACCCTTATGAAGACTTCAGTGAGGCGTACAAGGCCCTCTCTGCCAACCGCCTGCCTAACGGGCGGATTGATTGGGATGCTCCATGCCCCCTCCATTCCCTGCAATGCATGGCCTGGGAGAGCTTTCATGATGAGCACTTACCCCTCCTAGAGCATGAGTGCGCGTACTATGCAAGTCTTGAACAAAGGACTAGCGAAAGTCGCACCAACTCGCCGGTGAGGCCTAAGGAAGAGGTTGTGTTGGGGGAAGAACTGGGTTCCAGCCCACCTCGCCCCACCGACCGCTCAACTCCCCGGAAAACCCGTAGGCGACCTGGAGTAGCTCGGTTGGCTTCAAGATCTCCATCCTCATCTAGGTGATGCGGCTTCAGGATCTCCATCCTCATCTAGGTGATGCTGGTTGGGGTTCTGGAAGAAGTGAACCGCCCTCCGTCCTTCCTTGGTATTTGAAGGACGGTGGGTTTTTGCCGAGGCTGGGGGCGACCGATCCTGTCCCATGTTGGGGAAGAAAGGTGGTCGTCCTGGACGGCCGGTGATCAGAGTTCCGCCGGCTTATGTAGCTGCAGAATTACCCTTCAAACCTGCCTGTCCCCCCTAGGCCTTTTGCTCGCAAAGTTTTAGATTGTTCTTTTTCATTGTAAGAAAAGTATGGAAAAGTATCCCTCCTTTTGAAGATATAGAGACTGTTTCCAACTGTATTGTGGTGGATGCAAGAGATTATCCTTGAAATGTAATGAACATTTTTATGAATGTATTTTGATGTCACCTGTTTACTTACAAGTTCCATCTTCTTCTCTTCCGCATCTCATTTTAAGCGTTCAGGTTCCCTCAGACCCTGATCAGAGAATACCTCGCCTATTTTGACTTAGCCACTTCCGGGTTACTTTACCCCCATGGCGTCGCCATTGACCCCCGGTCGCTCCTGCGATCAGTAGATCTTTTGTTCCAGACTTAGCCGTTTTCTCGGGCTTCCTTGCCACGGCGTCGTTCTCTGATTAGTCGCGTCGTCTGACAACCCTCCACCTCGGTCGCTTGTCAGGGTTCGGCGCTTCACCCAACACTGGGTATCTTAGCACGAATCACCATGACGTTTAGGCTTAGCGATCCCTTGTGGTCACTCCCTTTTTTTTCGAGAATTGAAGACAATATGTGCCAGAAAACTGGTTTTATTAAACTTCACGAAAGAGACATGGTTGGAGTACAATCTATTGATAAAATTTGATAAGGTTGGCGGCATTCCATACCCGCGGAACGTCGCCACCGGCTGGAGTCTGCAATCTAAATGTCCCAGCAATCTATATGGCCCTTCGAAGCTTTTAGCAAACTTCCCTCCATCGGTCGGCCGACTGACTTCCCTTTTCCGAAGGACCCAGTCGCCCATCTTGAACTGCCTTGGTCGCACCCGCTGGTCGTAATATGACTTGACCTGTCGACGGTAGTTTTCTGCCCGCATATATGCCCTTTCCCTTCGCTCATCAATGAGGTGCAATTCTGCCCTCAAGTTCTCTTCATTTTCTCGAGCATCAAACGTCTCTACTCTATAACTTAACAACGAGGTCTCCGCTGGAGCCCTTGCTTCAAATCCATATGTGAGCGAGAAAGGGGTTTCACCTGTGGCCTTCCTTGGGGTGGTTCTGTAGGTCCACAAAATATAGGGCAACTCTTCCACCCAAGCACTTTTGCATTCCATTATCTTCTTCTTGAGGCCGTCTATGATGGTGTGATTGGTGTTCTCGACCTGCCCATTGGTTTGGGGGTACCGACCGCTGCATAGCTGTGTTTTATGCCCCAGCTCTGTAGAAACTCATTGAACCCTCCGGCCTCGAATTGGGTTCCGTTGTCAGTGATGATCTGCTGAGGCACCCCAAATCGGCACAAGATTTGCTTGGAGACGAACTTCGTCATCTGCTCCGCAGTGATGGTTGGCACGGGGGCGCCTCGACCCACTTGGTGAAGTAGTCGATCGCGACCACCAGGTATGTGTTGTTCCCTGTCCCCCGAGGAAAAATACCGACCAGATCGATGCCCCACCGAGCAAAGGGAATCGCCGTGCTTATCGGGGTGTAATTCGTCGCCGGTCGCCCCGGCACCCTCTGGAACTCCTGACAGACCTTGCATTTGCGCACATACTCTGCACAATCTCTAATAATCGTTGGCCAGAAGTATCCTTGCAGGGTTACTTTCCTAGACATCGTGAAGGCTCCCTGATGTGCTGAACATATTCCTTCATGGATTTCTTCCATTAACTTCTGTGCTTCGCCCGCTCTTAAGCACCTTAGCAATGTACCATTGTACGACCGTTTGTATAATCGACCGCACTCCAATGTGTAACTGGGTGCACGTCGTTTTACCACCTTTGCCGCGATTGGGTCGATAGGTAGCGACCCGTCAAGGATGTACATGGTAATCTCATCAATCCAATCCGGCTCCTCTTTGAGTGTGATGATCAGCACTTGTCCGGGACTGATGCTTGGTTCGAGCAACTCTTCCTCCTGAGTCATCGCCTTGATATGATCTGGGGAATCCGGACCAAGCTTTGACAAGATATCTGCTTCAGCGTTCTCTCCTCGAGGGACCTGTTCTATCCGGTATGCCCCAAATGCCTTAAGCAGCTCCAGAGCGGCGTCTCTATATTTCTTCATTCGCTCATCCTTGGCCTCAAACTCTCCCGTAACATGGCCTACTACTAGCTTGGAATCACACCGGACTTGGATTCGCTCAGCCTTTAATGAAGCTGCCAACCTCAAACCTAGGGCCTCATATTCGGCCTCATTGTTCGAGACTTTAAACCGGAACCTCACAGAGTAGTACGCTTTGAATCCTTCTGGCGATATCGCCACGACACCTCCCCCCGAAGCATCAGTCGCGGACGACCCATCGGTGTACACGGTCCACCAGTTCCCTTCGGGTTCTTCTCCACTAGACTCTACCTCTCTCGCAGTGCATTCTACCACGAAATCTGCTAACGCCTGCCCCTTTATCGCCGGTCGTGGCTTAAACTCTATCTGAAAAGATCCCAGGAACACTCCCCACTTGCTGACCCGTGATGGGGCATTCGGACTTCGAAGAAGTGTTCCGATGGGAATTTGTGATAATACATGGACCGGGTGGGCTTGAAAATATGGGGTGAGCTTCTTCACCGTACATACCACCGCAAAGATGGTTTTCTCCATGTTTGTGTACCTTTGCTCCGCCCCTCGCAACACCCGGGCCACATAGTACACAGGTCGCTGTACGCCCTCCTCCTCCCTCACAAGCACCGAGCTCACAGCTCGAGGAGAGATTCCCAAGTACAGAAATAGGGTCTCTCCGGGCTCTGGCTTCGAAAGTACCAGTGGGGAGAGGAGGTATGCTTTCAACCCTTCAAAGGACCGTTGACATTCTTTGGTCCAGACAAACGCTCTGCTCTTCTTAATTGTCTGAAAGAAAGGAGCCGCTCGATCAGCTATCTTTGACAAGAAGCGACTGAGAGCAGCAATCCTGCCGGTCAATTGCTGGACCTCCTTTACATTCCTCGGAGGTTCCATTTCTAAGATTGCTTTCACTTTCTCTGGATTAGGCTCAATTCCTCTCCGGCTGACCATGTGTCCTAGGAACTTGCCCCCCTGAACCCCAAATGTACACTTCTTAGGGTTAAGGCGAAGCTGGAACTTCTTCATGATCTTGAAAACTCTCTCCAGGTCGCCGGCGTGGGACTCAACCCGTTTGGACTTGACGATCATGTCGTCCACATATCCTTCCATGCATCCCCCCAGCACTGGTGCGAACAACTTGTTCACCATCCGTGCATAGGTCGCCCCAGCATTTTTCAAGTTATAAGGCATCACCTTGTAACAATATACCCCATTGGGGGTGATGAAAGCGGTCTTCTCTTCATCCGCCACAGCCATCTTGATCTGGTGGTACCCACTGAATGCGTCCATGAAACTCATCAGCTCACACCCAGCCGTCTCATCAACCAACTGATCAATGTTGGGGAGAGGGAAAGGATCCATCGGGCAAGCTTTATTCAGATCAGTGTAATCGACGCACATCCGCCAGGTACTCCCTTTGGGTGCGAGGACTACATTGGCCAACCATTCCGGGTATCGAACCTCCCGGATGTGCCCGATGGATTCTAGGNCATCAGCTCACACCCAGCCGTCTCATCAACCAACTGATCAATGTTGGGGAGAGGGAAAGGATCCATCGGGCAAGCTTTATTCAGATCAGTGTAATCGACGCACATCCGCCAGGTACTCCCTTTGGGTGCGAGGACTACATTGGCCAACCATTCCGGGTATCGAACCTCCCGGATGTGCCCGATGGATTCTAGGGTCGTCACTTGCTTGGTGACAAACTCCCTCCGTTCAGAGGAAAGGAAACCCTTCTTCTGTTTGACCGGCCTGTGGGTCGGATCCACTGCCAATCTATGGCAGATGATTTTTGGGTCCCTGGCATATCCTCTGGTCCCCAAGCGAATAACACTTTGAATGCTCGGAGGACCTCTTATAATTGCTCCTTTAATTCAAGCGGTAGGGTTCTACCTACCTTCACCTTCCACTGTGGTTCGGCCGGGTCCAAGGAAACTTCTTCGACCTCCTCCACCGGCTCAGCTCGTGGTCGCCCCTCCTCCTTCTGGATTGCGGCGCAAATCGTACTCACATTCTCGTCGACCCGGGCTTGGCTCTTGGTCGCCCTGACATAGCACGACCGTGACAGGCTTTGGTTTCCCCTTACTATCCCCACTCCCGTGGGAGTATTGAACTTTAAGCATAGGTGGACGGGGGAGATTACGCACTCCAGGTCCTCCAACCCTGGTCGCCCCAGGATCAAATGGTGTGCACAGTTGAGCTGCACTACCATAAATTCCATGTCGACCCAGAGTCGGTGGGTGCCATCTCTTACACCGGCCTTCACCGTGATAGTGCCTTCAGCTTCGATCGTATCCCCTGTAAACCCCGATAGCGGCGTATGGATTGGTTTCAGGTCACCTCGGGACAACCCCAACTCCGTAAAGGTGTTGCTGTACATTACGTTGACCGAGCTGCCCGTATCGACCAAAGTGCAGTGAACAACCACATTATTGATCTCTACCTTTATCACCAGAGCGTCCCTGTGGGGGCTGAGGACTGGGGGATAATCCTCATCTGTGAAGATCAGAGGTTCCTTCTTCTTCCGCTTAGGCAGCGGCGGCCTTTGCACCTCAGCCAGGTACACCATGTTCTTCCACCTCTTCCGGGAGGATACCGAATCTCCTCCCGTGTTTCCTCCCATAATGAACCGACACCCCAGGTGTCGGCGACCTTGCCTTTCCTCTTCATCTAGATCGTCACAATCTCGTCCTAGGTGCCGCCGTCCATCTTCTTGCCCCTCTCCTGCTGTGATCGCTGCTGTGGGGGCTGGAGGCCTCCTCCAGGTCCGGTTACCTGAGGATGGTCGTTCCGTCCGAGGAGGTGGCCCTCTAGCGATCAGCTGATCCATCTCCTTCCTCAACGTGACGCACTCCGACGTATTGTGGGTGCTGTTACGGTGGTACTCACAGTATTTGGGTGCATCCTGCACACCATAGCTTTCCCGACTGTGAGGAGGAGCAGGCAACGACTATACCGCATGAACAGGATGCCTGTTCACATGATACCCGGTGGGGTTTGGCCCCTTACCATAGTCCTTCCTCTTCTTCCCTTCTGCCACCGGTGGCCCATTTTTCTTCTCCTTCCGGACTGGTGGCTCATCATCTTCTTCTTCCAATGCCAAGTACTTCGCCCAGGCCAACATCTCTTGATAGGTTGAGAGAGGATTCCGCCGCAGCTCTTTGCGCACATCCCCTTGGGGGAGTGCAGCTTGGAGCATGGCGATCAGGGCCTGGTCGTCCGCCCCTTGGACGTCCCTAGCCTCCTTCTCCCACCTATTAATGAATTCCCGGAGCTGTTCCCCCTTCCGGATCTTCACATTGAGCAGATGCGAGAAGGGGAGCTTCTGTCTCTGGCTGGATGCGAAGTGCTCCAAGAACTTGTGGGCCAGGTCGCTCCACTTATCTATCGACCCCTTGGGTAACTTGTGGAACCATTCACAAGCCTGCCCTTCCAGCGTCGCCAGGAAACATCGACACTTGATTTCTTCTTGGTACGCAAACATGACCACGTTGGCCCCAAAGCGAGCGAGGTGGTCTTGGGATCGGTCGTGCCGTTGTACGCCTTGATCTGGGGAGTCTTGAAATTATCTGGGAGAGGGCAGGACATTACCCTTCTCGAGAAGGGCGTTACCTCACTGAAGACCGCCTGGCGATAGGGGTTTTGGGCGTCCAGCCGCTTCTCCAGCTGCTCGTACATTTTCCACAGCTCAGCTGCGCCCTTATCCCCGACGGTCGTCCGTCGCTCCTCAGAACCGACCTTGGAGGTCGCTGTGGACTCCCCTCTCTTCTCCTTGAGTGTGTCTCTCAGGTCGCCTTTTCGGGCCGACCGAGTGTCCTACAACCGTTCGAACGCAGAGGTCCGAGGCTTCTTTGACTTGGGGTCTCCCAAACGGTCAAAAGCAGACATCCGCTCGAAGGAGGACGAGTCGTCCTCTTCTTCCAGTCTGGAAAGCGCATCAGCCATCACAGCCTTCCCATTAGGCTTGGTCGCCTTCTTCTTCTGGGACCGCCTTACTTTTTTCTTTTTTCCTTGGGAGCCTGTAGGTCCAGCCTTCCCGCCCGTGGGTCCCTCAGCCACATCTTCTACCACAACCTCGCGGTTGGGCGCCAGTGCGGCCAGCACCTCTTTGAATTGTTCGGCCGTGATTCCAACCCTCTGAATGAGGGCCTCAGCCTCCCCGGTGGTGATGGGAGGGTTCCGACCTCCAGTGGTGCTGTTCTCCCCCTGTTGGGGAACTCCAGTACCTACATTGGCGTTACTGCGCGTTTGCACCATCGTCTCTATGGAGGATTTCCTCTGAGTATGATTCTCGAACTCTCAACAAGAGCACCAATTTGGTGGACAATAAATCCACCGAATGATCCGATTCACAAAGCGGATCGTAAGAATAAAATCGAAAGCGAGAATTCGAGAATTGGGTGTGTATTATTAGCTTGATTTAGCTTGAGTTTTCCCCTTTCGGGTCTCCCCTATTTATACATGAACTCTCAGCAATTTAGGTAGTGCATTATCGATGCAATCTAGCCCGCCAATGGCGCGATCCCTTTCTTCCGGCTCCGTAACGGCCAATCAGCTCCGTCTCCTTCTCCGGATTGACTCTGCCAGCTGCGCTTGGTTTGAGGTTAACTAGGCCCAGCTCCACGGGCCGGCCCAAGCTTGGGCATTTCACAGGTGCTTGGCCCAAAGCTGTATAAGCTTGGGCATTTCACAGGGCATTTCACAGCTCCACTGGATATCGGCCCATCAACTTCATTTGTCCAATTAAGTATATTCGTTTTTGTTTTAAAAAGTTTTTATTTTTTTGAATATGTCGGGACCAAAAGAACATTGAGTAACGTCTTTTTAGTATACACTCCGGAGTAGTTAATTATATATTAATGACATTTTTTTGGACCAATGCGCAAAAGATATCCTTCATGGATTAATTTTCCCAATTCTATAAAAGTACTTTTTATTTATATACTTTTCTTTTTCTTTATTTTCTTTTCTATTCTTTTTTCTATTATTTTAATCTTGATTAAAATAAAAGAAATGGTATAAAATTAATGAACAAGAAATCAGAAATGAGCTTTAATAAAAAAGAATATTTCATTGATTCTCGTATCATAAAAATGAACTAATAAAGACATCTTTTGGACAAAAACTTAAAATGTTTAATTTGAGAAAAATGAAGTGTTCATTAATTCTTGCTATTTAATTGATTTGTATTACAAACACAAAAAAAATTGATTATTAAAATATTATTTTAAAATAGGAAAAATAACATTTTTGAAAAAAAATAGTAGGAAAAAAACAATAAAGAAAAGAGGGATGTTTGTGCCAATTTCTAAAATCGTAAGGGGCAGTGGAACTATTCATATTATATTTGAAGGATGTTGTCATCCCAAAAATGATGTTGTTCGAAGTTTCATTTGTCAAAAAATGAAGTCGTTTGATATTTTATATTAAAACACAAAAATGGATGAAATGAAGTTGTTTTCAAATTTGTCAAAATCCCCTAAAACTTTTTTGTGTGATTTTTTTACTTTTTATTTTTATGCTTCTCATACTATTTAGAGTAAATTCCATAATTGGTCCTTTATAATAGGGGGGTTTCCATATTTAGTCCTCTATTATCAAATATTACCCCCGTAGTCCTTTTTTAAGGGTATCTTTCCACAAATGGTCCTTTTTTGATCTTATGCCGTGTTGGTGTTAATTTAAAGGCTAAAGTATAATTTGACATCAACATTATATCTAGTGACGTGTTCTGATATTGGTTAAGCGGATAACACAAAAATAATGACTATGATTGTGGGCTAGGTTCTGACGAAAGATCACATTTGTAGACTATATTTGTCGTAAAAAGCGACTGTAATTCACAAACGACGCAAAATGGAACAGCCTATGGAATTGTATATGACAAAAAAGATATATTATCATAGTGAAATTACACTTTTAGCCCTCAAATTAACACAAACATGATAGAAGATCAAAAAAGACTATTTCTGGAAAGGTACCCATAAAAGAAGGACCACTGGGATAATATTTGATAATAGAGGACTAAATAGGGAAACCTCCCTGTTATAAAAGACCAATTATAGAATTTACTCTACTATTTATTAATAATTGGTGTTAGTGAATAATGAACAATACATTATATTCCTATGTATAAAGATTGCAAGGGAGAGTTCTAATCCTAGTATAATAGGAATTATGGTAACAATATAATAAGAAAATAAAAAAATAAAAAACCAAATAATAATAAAATTCTATTGCTTACTATTCATACTTAATATTCTTAATATACCCCCGAAAGTTGATCATTAGAAACGAGTAGCAGTTTGGAGCACATGTACTAGAATGGAGCCGGCGGAAGCGGTTTTGTGAGAATAACTACTAGAAGTATAGACATAGATCCTTGTTGCATGACAAGCGAGCTTGAAAGTACGCTTGCTAAGTTTCTTTCCATGGAGAGTATTGACGATTGGAGCGAGGACGAGGAATTTCTTTGTTTTTCTCGTTTTGGACAGTTCCCTTTCTATCACTTTCCATGCTCTTGAACTATAGAAGAAACACCGACAAATGCAACTTTGGAACTATTCGATCACATACACAATTTTTTTACATAGAAAGAGGGATAAAGGACATCGACTGTTAGGCACGCTCATATTTTTTTATAGAGGAGAGGGATAATGGATGGCGATGTCATCATCAATGATGATCGACCGTCTATGATGAAGGCTGGCGACGCCGCATGGTCGTAATAGATGGGAGCCTAGTTTTTTTAGAAGGGATACCCTATCTCCGATACCATGATACAATTTGGTAATAATTGGTCTTATTGAATAATGAAGATTTCACCCCTATATATAGGAATTACAAGAAATAATTCTAATCATAGTAGGAGAAGAATTATAGTAACAATATAATAAGTAACTAATATACTCTATCCAACCTAAAATGGTCTTCCCAATTTAATTTACGAGGTTTAATCGAAATTATTTTCAATTCAATTTATTTGATTATAGGTGTAAAATTAAAAAAATAAAAATTATATATTTTAAAATTACATCAAAAGTTCTACATAACAAGAGGTGACATGACTATATTATTTTATCAAATAAATAACGAAAAATAGGAAAAGAAAATGATTAAAATTTGACCATGTGAATAATGACTAGGAAGATCATTTTAGGACGGATGCAGTAATAAGGAAGGTAATTTATGATCATATTAGTTTCCTACCATTCGTATTATTCTTAATATCCTCTCACAAGTTGATCATCGATAACATGGAGTAGCTTGGAGCACATGTATTGGAATGGAGCTGATGGAAGCGATTTTGTGAGGATAGCCGCTAGAGAGTGATAGATCTTCGTTGTATGAAGAGTGAGCTTGAGAGTATGTTTGCTAAGTTTTTTGCGGTGAGAATGTTGGCTATTGGAGCGAGGGCGAGGAATTTCTTTTTGAGTAATGCTAGAGTCACAAACAAACAGTTCACAAAATTCACAAACTTATCTTTTTAACATTTTCCTAAAAATAAGATGCACCCAAATAATAAAAGATATTTTAATTTACAATCCATAAAAGGTGAATTTATAAAGTTTGTGAACTACTTGCTTGTGACTCTAGCATTTTTCTTTCTTTTTTCTGTTTGTGGGCCATTTTCTGCTTATATATCACTTTCCATGGCCTTGATCTCTAGAAAAATCACAGAAAAATGCAACTTTCCCGTTCTTTAATCACACATGATTTTTTTGGAAGAGAAAGTGATATGGCATGATGGATGTTAAGCATGCTCATAGTTTGTTGGAGAGAAAGAGATAGATATGGGATGGCGGCTGTTAGGCACGCTCATAATTTTTTGGAGGGAAAATCGGAGATAAGGGATGACAGCTGTTACAAAAGTTACATTTTATAATAGTGCACAAATTAAACACAAATAATTAAAAATAAAATTTATGATTTTAAGTAAAATAAAAGAAAAGAACCTTTAACTTATGGTGTGGATGAGGCGACAACGTGGAGGCGGCGACGATGAGGAGGCTGCGACAGTGAAGAGAACCGACGTGGGAGCTGTGACGGCAAAGTAGCAGCGATGAGCGGCGACACACACACACACACAGATATATATATATATATATATATATATATATATATATATATATATATATATATATATATATCCAACGTATGTGCTTCCCTTTTACGAGGAAGAAACAACAAAAGTCATAATTTGAATAGTCATTGAAATAATAAGTCATTATCCAACATTTGTTGCTAATGACCACATTCGTAGTGTCTTTTGTACAATCAGGCCATTATATAACACTTGTTGCTAATGAGAACATATATGACACATCATATGGAATGATGTGTCATAAAGAGAATAAAACATACTTGGTACTATACAGAGTAACGTATTACCTCTTAGTCCTATATGAAGCAAATTTTTCTTAACGCAACATCTTACCGAGTAATTTTTAAGTGTAAGAACTAGAATGTTGGCCTTGTTTATATTTCCTAAAAAGCTCATCAGTTTGGGATCTTCTAAACACACAAAATCCGACAACACAGACACAAGCCAGGAAGAACAGTGTGGCAAGAAGAACAAAACCAGCCTTCCTCCATTCCTTTCTAAGGCTAGCAAGCATTCCAGCCCTGCATGAATCACACCCATAACAAAGCTGGTCATTATTGCTCCATGCCAAGCAATCTTTGTCTGCTGTCATGTTTATCGGACTTATCCAATATGTTGGGGTTACGTAAGTGTACCCGCATTCTGTTGGTGGCTTGCAACATCCTGACTGTCAATTAAGCAAATCCAAGAAGAGTGACATCAAGAGTTAATCACATCATTAGATGACATTTTTAAAAAAAATGATTTTTTTAATGAATAAAACGGAAGGAGTTGGAAAAAACTAAATTTGTCGAGAAATACGAGAAAAAACATTACGAGGGAGGGAACAATGCGAAAAAGTGTGAATTATTTAATACGCAATCAATTTTACCTGAACGGGAGAAAGAGGAGCATTGAAGAAATCTTGAGCATTATGAAAAGTTTGGTTCAATTTCACACAAGCATCTGAAGAGCTCAAGCACTTCCAAACCCGGGCCCACCGAACGCGACCGTGGACTTGGCGTCCAAGCCAACCCGAGTAGTCGTCGAACCGGTACTCCAAGTAGGCTCGGTTCGGCTCGCGGTGAGCCGAACCATGAGACGTGACGCTAAACACGAACGCAACCAAAGCACCCAACAAAACCATCAAAACCAACATGGCCACAAAATAAATGACCATAAGTGGTTGGATTTTCCTAAAGCCACCCACAATGCCAAAAATAGCTACCACTAAGATTGCAATTCCTAAGGCTATGACTGGCCAGTTCAAGAGGTTTAGGCATGAGATTTCTGCTTGGGTCATTAGCCATATTCCTGTGGCTATGATTGGGACTGAGAGTAGTAAAGCTACCAAATTGATGGCTCCTATGGCATTTTTGTTTAGGACCATTTTTTGTCTAATATATGGAATGATAATTATGATGGACTAAGGGATGGTTTTGGGGATAATTAATTAGATGGCAGGGATAATTGTGGTTAAGAAAAAGAATTAAGATGATTGTGCAGCTTTTTGGTTGTATGGAAGGAGAAGCAACCGGGTTTTCTGGCCGTGATTAATAGGAAAGGTATATTAAGGGCGTGGGACTAGAGTCACTAGACTCATTTTTCTCTTCTAGCTGTTTATTCATTTATCTTGAATTTATCATCTTAATTTGATCTTACAAAATTTAAAAAACTGTATTGAAAAGTAAATCTTTACTTCTCAATAGATGGAATGTTTACATTAATGTGAGTGCTTGAAACTTGTTTCGAAAAAGAGAAAAATTGTAAACCACACACTCTTTATTTTATTAGAAAAATAATAAAGGTCATTTTTTAGACAAGATAAAAATGAAATAAGACGATTAATTGGTGACAGGGAAAGCTTTTTTTACTCCCTATTAATTTGACTTGTGATACAACTTTGATCAACAATACGTAGACAACAATAAATTCCTTCCGTCACAAAAAAAATATTTAGTTTTCTTTTATAATCGTCTCACAATAAATTTTTTGTTGAGTACGGAGTATTAAATAGTTGACATTCTTTGTCTCTCCTCTGCATAAATCTAAGAGTTGTGCTTCCGTAGTTTTGTGGATGAGCTAACAAGTAGATCTTTTTTAAGACCCAATTGTTTAATGGTAGTTACTCCCTCCGTCCCACTCTCTTTGTCCACTTATCTTTTGACACATCATCCAATGCACTTCTTTAATCCATTTTATCTTGTAATTTGTATATTAAAAAATTATAGAAATTATATATTAATAATCTATATGTTAAGACAAATCAAACAAGATCACACATGACTATATTTAGGCTTACATATTGAGAGAATTTGATGAGTCAAAGTGCTTAGATGAACAATTCCAAAAGTCAAAAGTAGACAAAGAGAGTGGGACGGAGGTAGTATATAGCAAAGTCCATAAAATAAGTGTGGATCCCAGCAAAGACTACGTATTAATTTGTCCAAATCTAAACAAACTTTTTTTTGACACCGTGAAAGCCAAAGCAATGAGTTATGAATTAAATTAAAAAGTTATACTCCGTACCATATAATTGTATTGAAAGATAATTTTACTACCCTGTCTTTTATTGGTTTTAGACTCCTTTTCAGTTGTAAAAATTAACTTCTAACTTTTTCCATTTCCTTCCAATTTCTCCCAGTTTCTTCCAGTTTCTTCCAACAACGACTTAAAAAATGTATTTATATATATAATAAACATAAAATAACATTATATATTTAAGTTTATAACATACCCGACCAAAGACAAACAATGATGAATTCTTTTTTATCCAAAATTATAACTTTCTTACAAATGTATTTGGATGATCATTTAATTGAGTATCTTTTTAACATTTAAATTCTTCCAACATTTTCAAATTCCTTCCAACCTTTTCCAATTTCTTTCACCTCCTTCCAGGTTTTCCAACATCCAACAATGAAATTTCAACCCAAAAGAACAGAGCATTAATTGTCTAATTTCTTGTTTTTACTTGTGTGAAATTAGTTGTTCATGACATCTTTTTATAGAGATTTTGATGTTTTTAATTATAAAATATACAAAATCTGTTTTACAATCTTGTACGAATATTTGAATAAATTGATTTAAAAATGAGATAATTCAAATTTTATTATATGTGACGAATGATTTTGTGACAGGAAAAGAGTTGCTTTGCTGCCTATGGGGGTTCAAATCCCAGAGGCATCTCTTTGAATATGTCCCCTTATATGTGAGATTAGCCTTGACAAAATCCTATTGTCCCTGCCAGCGGAGGTACATCACGCGATTTACCTCCACCACCAACCCCAGGGCAGTGGTGTGGAGGACCTTCGAGTTGAGGGTTCCACCTTTTGTGAGAGGAAAAGAGTTAATACAAGGAGTAGTTGAATACTCCATTTTTTTTTTAGCACACTTGAAATGATCAATTCCACCATAGTTTTAAAAAGATTTACAGTGCATAACAGGGGCTAGATAATATTCCATGAGTTCTAACAAGATCAGCTCCAATAGTAACATGAAAAGAGGTAAAAGAAACTTCAATATTTTGGTACATTTAACATTTTCATGCTAAATATGATCATCACTTATCGTTGTCAGAAACTGAACTTAGATCATTATATATTTTTTGCCTACCTATTAAATAACTAAACAACCTCAACATGTATTCCTAATAAAGCTTTGCATTATGGTGTAAAAAAGTCTTAAGTTAAGCGAGGTTGCATTGTTGCAAATGCCTCTTTGAAATTGAAGCCCCACTTTTGCTTTGATCCATGCAGTGTCATCCACTTGAGGCCACAACAAGATATGATCATTATTGTGCACATTTTGTTTTTAGTGAACTACTCTGTGCCACAAAGTTTTTATGAAAACAGAAATAGTACCAACCACCGTTTATTTTTCTTACTATATCTGTGCACATTAGATTGGGACGTAGATTAAAATAATTAAATGAAAACTCACATGTTTTGAACAAAGGATAGACTAAACTTAAACGACACATTAAAATTCTTGCATTTCTCCTTGTCTTTACTAGTAAGGAGTGCTAGGGGGGACCCCAAGATTTTGACACCAAATGCACATCAATGTCACTACAAACACACCCGAACATTTAATGTTTGTGTGTGCATAAACATTAAATGTCTAGGTCTGTTTCTATTGGTCTTGGTGTGTATTTGGAGTCAAAATCTTGGACACAAACCTCAGGATGTAAGAAACTCAAAACTTGGACACAAACCTCGGGGGGTCCTCTGCGGAATAGGACATTTAAAATGTTTATATTCACAATGCTCCCTAATAAAACTCATGTGGACACATACAGAACCAAGATCCACAATGATAAAAACAGATGTTTTTATCTCAAGAAAACAGCATGGAACATTTCTTTCGAAGAAAAAGAATCAGCACATTTATTATTGTTCAGGGAACTTTGTGTATTAAACAGTATCACAAAATTTTACAAGCACATGTATAGGGAGGGGGGGTATAGGGTAAAGGCCAAAATGGAAGAGGTAACGTAACCTGAGGAAGGGTAGACCACCAAGGCTACAATACACAAAATAAAATCCCCACAGTTTCTACAGTATTTATAATAATCAGATACCACAATATTAAGCAACTGGCAAGATTGCTTCAGAAGAGAATTACTTACATACATGTATGCTCCAAAAATGCATTCGATGACTAGAGTATAAATCTCCATGTCAAGCCCGCTCTCAATTGAAAACAGTAATATCCGCATCTTCGGGTAAAAATACAACATCAGCAGCACCTCTTCCACTTCTTCATTAGTTGGATAGGCCTCATCGGTAGCCGCTACCGCCATAGGGCTGTTGGCCATAATAATTGTGGGTCCCGGTGGTAGGATTGTAATTTCCCGGTATATATGATCCGGGAGGAAATCCTGTAGGCTGTTGCATAGGCATTCCAGGTCCCATGCCCATGCTTATTTGACTATTCATCCCCATTCCCACTGGCTGGTTCACTCTTAAATTTCCCATCCCAATGCCTCCCCCTTGATTGACCTGTCCCAGGCCTGAACCTATACCTACCGTAGGGTTTTGTGCAGGTCTGAGAACACCTGCACCAGCACGGCCCATTCCAGAACCACTACCCATTGCTTTGCCCATGGTAATGGTTGCGGTCAATGTTGATGTTGTGGGCTTCTCCATCCTCTTCTCCTTGCGATTAATGGCATCAAAGTCAACCCCAATATCTGCTAATGGATTTGTTTTAGCTGCACATGTATAGCATAAGAGACATAAGGGTTAGGCAAGTACAGGTGGAAAATTTTGAAATTAATTGACATAAGCAGATACTAGAAGAGAACTCTTACATCCAGAAATGTTCAAGTTGACCAATCCTCTATTCAATGTATCCGCCCAAACTGAAGATTTGGTCTCAAACTTATCCTTAGCTGGCTGAGAGCTAGCAGTGAAAGAACTGATTGATGGAGAAGGATTAGGCTGAGCAGTGTAAGCATTTAATTGAATTTGTGGTGATTGAGGTGTCACTGCTGCAGTAGAAGGTTGAGGGTACATGGGGGGTGCAGATCGACCAGTTGATCCAAGTAATGTATTGTAACCCCCATAAAATCTAGCATCTGGTTGCAAGGACTGGGGGCCACTAGAAGCATGAAACTGAGGTTGGGCCAGAGAGCTCCCATGAGGTGGAAATCCGGCAAGAGCTGCAGGTTGACCATTTTGTGCCATGAAAACTGTTTGTGGTGCCTGAGCTGGAAAGCCTGCAGGGCCTGTCATATTTGAAGATTGGCTAGTTTGAGAAGGAAGCCCAATCTGCTGAACAGGTTGACTGGTTTGAGAAGGAAGTCCAATTTGCTGAACAGGTTGACTGGTTGGAAAACTCATCTGTGACTGAAGTCCAGGCTGAGCAGAAAAAGTAACCAATGATGCTGGACCAGGTTGCTGAGCAGAGCCATGTAGAGATGCCGGGCCATTTGAAGATGCAAAACCTGTCTGAAGTGCAGGAGTAGAATGTGGTATGAACTCCGTATGTGAAGAATGTTGAGTGGCTTGATGTGATTGAATTCCCGTCTCTGGTGCATATTGGCTAGCTGGGACTGGAACCTCATTCTGCGGCTGTCCAGATGGTGGGAGAATATCAGCCAGAATATCAATTTCTTGGTTAGAGCTGGATAACTCTTGTTGACCATATTGTTGGTTGGATGACGGAAGTGGTACACTGGAAGCATTCGGTGCTGAATACGATGCAACATGATGGGTTCCTCCAAAATTATCTGATATCTCGACCTTATGCGAGCCTGGTGGAGGAACGTTAGGACTCTGAATTGAGGAAGGAATATATGGGGCAGGATGTTGAGATGCTATGTCATTGGAGGATGGAATAGCCTTGAAAGGTCCATCGCCAAAAGGATCATCAAAAGCCTGAAAAAAGCATATCTGTTAATACTAACGAAGTACTTCAGCTAGGAGCATTTTTCATTCGGTCTTTTTTCTTTTTTACATTTCTTGTATGCATGTGAGATCTTGACTTGGGATTTAAGGTTCATTTATAGCAAGTAGGACATTCCAAACTTCTGAGTTT